GCCAAACATGCCAAGGCTTATTTCTTTGTCTGAGTCCAGCTCTGGTTTAGCCTGAGAACAGTATTCATAGATACATTGTTCCTTTTGTGGAAGAAAAAAAAGTAGAACTGTACAGGTATGTGTTACCACCTGCAGCACATTTCTGCCTGTCGCACTGCCTTCTGTGAGAAGTCTTTGGTTGCTCTATCAAGCTTCGCCACAGCCCCTATAGCGTACTTCCACTGGGTAGATGATGATGCTCCAGCCTGCCTCCCTACGCTCAGCTACCAGCTCAGAATGTTTCATCATCTTACGTTTGTGGGTAGCCTGGGCTGCCTCCTCCCAGGGGATGGTGAGCTCGATGAGAGGAGCCATCTTAGCAGCAGCAGACTGATGAACACTTTAGGGAACTGCAGCTGTGTACTGAGGTCAGCTCTCATGTTCCAACCCTTGCCTGCAGACAGTAGACTTGATAAGCCTTGTGAACTGGTGTCTGTGGTGCTCTCTCCAAGACTGATGAACTGGACTATGTATTTATCAGTTGTGGGATGGTTGTTGTTCGCAATCTGCATACAGGCTACCAATATTTCAGCCAGCTTCCTCAGGACCTGGTCATTCTACCATCTGTAGTGGCCCTGGGTCAGGGTGGTCTTGCACCGAATGTGTTGGAGGCTACCCTACTGCAGAGGCAGCAGCTTTCTGAGATATATGTGTAATATGGTATTTTTAATTTAAGAATTTAATTCTTAATTAAAAAAGGCTGTGAGGAAGAGCATGTTTATATGTATTAATATCATCTCCAATCAGCATAACACTGGAACCACTTACGTAGCTGTGAATATGTCTATGTTTAACTAATAATAAAGCTAAGTAGTAATCACCTTGATATTTCACTAAATATTAGGCTAATTAGGGTAAATTAGGCTGATAAAATAAATCAGCACAGTAAATTATTGTTTGGGAGACCCGCTCACAAAAAAGAAATGTTTGTGCATGTTTTAATTAACATCTGAACACCTAAGTTCTGAATTTGCACCAAAAAAAAATCATACACAGTCACAAATAAAAAAAAAAAAAATCTGTACCTTTACTATTTTAGAACTGGGCATATGGACATATATTTTGCCTCACATGTGCACAAAATTTATAGCGTTAGATTATGTCCTTGAAATCTTTCTTTCCTGCGGCCACGCCCAGTCCCTGTGTAATTGAGGATTTTAAGGAGAATGTCAGAGATAATCTGTTTTATCATCCCACTCCTTCAGGAATTATTATTATAAGACAGGACTTGATGATGATGCACTAAATCAAAGAAAATGTCAATAAGCTAGCATTCGACGAACAATTTTCAGCATTCTTTCACCACAACCATTAACATTCTCTCACTGAAATAAAAAATGTGTGGTCATACTGTAACTCAAGAGTTATTGTGTTATCTAAGGTCACTCAGTCTCAGTCACAGAAAAAGCATCGGTCAACATAGGGGTGAAGGGTATGCACACTAACTCCCTCTCTGCCCATCTTAAACCCACACACAGACACACACACACAACTTCTACGACGCTGGGTAAATGGTCACAGGGACAGAGTATTCCCAGCAGGACTTTGTAGATGAGGGTTGTCAGCACTTTTCTCACCAGAGGGTTTAGGCCTTTCGTTCTGCTCTGGGATAGCTGAGTTTAATTGGAGAGCGCTAATGCGCAGCTGGATAGCAGAGCTGCTCATGCCATGACTGGCTCTGAAAATGGGAGGGCGTGAAAGCAGGGCTGGTGTGTGTGTGTGTGTCTTCAGCACCTACTGCAGACATTCCTCAAGATGCCAACAAATTTATTCATGGAATCTGAGCAGTTTGTTTATGAGCCGTCTCATTTACTAAATAATAGGCAATGATAATTTCAGCAGATTGATCCTGGGTTAATCCAAATAATTGCCAATTCATTATAATTTCACATTTTCTGGAAATAGAGTTGACTTGTTCTGTCTATCAGTGGGGTGTAAACTGCGTATCCCATCGATCAGGTTATATGGGAAACATGTTTTATCAAACATAGGCAAAACTGAGCAAACACTGTCAGAAAACATTTTGCACAATGGAAAGCAAATTGGAAAACGTGGTATTACTTCACTGCAATGTGCCACATTTCAATGCTAAGAGAAGCCACAAAAGAATTGAAATGGTATAAATAACAGTGTGTCAGGACGAGTCAATATACAAAATAAATGCTTTGTCTGGAAACAGACAACATTTTTGTGTTGTTACTTTCCCATAAACAACCTTGCAGTTTGTAAATGATCGATGTCTGTGAAGGTTATCCAGGTCATAGTTATCCAAGGAAGGTTAAAGTCAAGGGCAACTGGACTTGGTTGAAGACACTAGAAGGCGTTTCATCCCTCATCTGAGAGAATTCTTCAGTTCTGACTGACTATGGAAACCGGGCTATTTAACCTCTGTGGGATCGTTTGCCAACAAACGTAACCTTTTGGCCTCAGGTGAAGATGCCAGCGATGGTCGTTCAGACTTTGGGTGGTTCTAATGACCATAAAAACTGTCGTTATAATAGCCAGGAACACTAATGAACCAGCGGTAGCGATGATCCTGGCAAACGACCCCACAGAGGTTCAATAGACGAATATCCCTACTAGTCGGTCATTACTGACGAAGTCTCTCGGATGAGGGACGAAACGTCTTCTAGTATCTTCAACCAAGTCTAGTTGCCCTTATTTGGAGTCTGGTGAGTTTTAGATTTGTGCAGTATGGCTGATTTCACTATTTTCTGGACTAAATATCAAAGACATGCAGGTTGGTTTACACTGTGTAAATGCTTTGTGATGAAAACTCAGCCTGTAGGGTGATTTTCATTGGAAACCTCAGCAGGAAGAAAAGACTCAGACTCTTATCTTTTAATATATTTACATACCCCTGCTGTTGTGGATATATTCCATAAAACAGTGAATGTTTGATTTATGCTGAATATAGTAATACATATTGTGGTTTTGATGACATATAGAGCTGTGTATGGCTTTGAAATCTATAATTTGTTTCAGTTTAGTAACCGGTTGGTCATTATGATAAAGTTACAATCCAAAAAGTGGGTGAGAGAGAGAGAGAGTAATGTATTGTAAAGTTTAATGCCCACTGGATTATCATCAAAACACTGAAGATCTTTGTTTTGCCTTTGATTCAGTTTTGTTTCAAGTCTGGAGTGGCTTAAAAGCTCCCAGTGATGGTGCATCACAGTGGAGAGAATAGAGGTAAAACACTTGTGGGACCTGGGCTAAGTCGCTGTAGCATTTTAGTTTAAGAGGAAGATGAGCAGAGGGGCAATGGCCTTATTGCCAATTAAGTCCACTGGAAGGTAAGTTCAAACTGTATGACCTTACATACTGTATGCGTTATGTTGTTTGTGAAAATAATTTATACAGCTATAGAGACTTCATGAGCATCAGAGGCACGTGGTAGTCAACATCCTTTACAATGCCAACAGAGGGCTGAGAAAAGAGAGAAAACTGCTAAAAATTAAATTTTCCACGCAAAAGTCTGTTATAAATGCTAAATATCTTATGTGTATCAAATCATTAATTTCTCTGAGCAGTCTAAAGGCTCAATATGTCAGGTGTACACAGCTGTATTCACATACAAAAAGGTGTTCTATTATCTTTCTAATATTTCCCTGCGATATGATGAGTAACCAATACTTGTTACATAAAGAGCTCCTCAGGCCCTGGAGATCAAACACGTGTGTACTGTTGTACACAGGGAGCTACATAAACATGATAAAATTACATCAAGACTGAACTCTAATATTATGTAAAGCACATACACAGGCAGTGAAAAAAGCTAAATGAATGGCAAACACCAGCCAGATGTCAGCATTTGTGTTTTTAGATACAACAATTTCCAATAGTGTTTGTTTCAGTGTGAATATTCAGTCAACTGCAGCAGTGTGGAGCAAGAACAGCTCGTTGTTGAGAGCAGCTTAAGGGAGAATAAAATAACAGTGTGATCTCAGTCTGAGATGTGACTGTGCCTTTTTCTTAGTTCATTTCACTGGTTTGGTCATGGCAGGAATTTTTCTGTGGATGCCGCCCCAAGTGAAACACATGTCAACTTTAGTCGCGCCACTCGTTGCCTGAGAAAGAAAATCTTAAGAGATATAAAAAAACAAACTGAGACACGTCATCTTAGGATATCTTTGATTAGATGACCAATGAAAATACCACAAGTGAGGGAAAAATATTAGCAGCTAAAGTAAACAGAGTCTCTCCTGATCATTATCATGAGCAACAGTTTTATTTGGAGTAACATTAAGACTCAGGACAAAGTAGCAGTATGGAATAGCTGGCATAAGATTTTTAAGTGAGAGGATAATTACATGTTTTGCATCATCACTTAAATGAAACTTTGCATGTGAAAGACTCGCAGTTGCACGCTCCAGAGAAATAAGGTGTTATGTGTCCTCAGTGACAGGTAGGCCACAAACACACAATCGTGTTCTAGCAGTGCCTGAATACTTGACAATAGAAACAGAATAGAAAAGACTTGAAAGTTATGTCTTATGTGGTAACTTGGCTAGTATGTTAGATTTGTGGTCAATCCATCAAAATTTCCAAATTTAACTCACATTAGAAAGACAGTTTGTTAGCACCTAACAACATCTAATCATATTTGATCCATTTTTTAGAAAATACTAAAATACTAAAATCATAAAATCATCGAACAGGACACCTCAGACAGCTATTTAGATGCCAGTATAAATCACGACTCAGGTTAAAATTAAACTGTAACACTTCTGCTCTGTGCAGTGTTACCAGTTGATTTTCCACTTTGGTCCAGACTCCCAACCACTATTAGATTAATTGCCATGAGATTTGGTACAGACAGCCATGTTCCTGTCTGGACAAATGGTTAACTTTTCATCTGGTCACTTCTTTACTTTGTCCAGTACTTTTCATTTATAACCAAATACCGGCAAAGCTAATTACATCTTTTATGAATGTTTAACATGAGAATAAGAGCATAATTTACGGTAACACATTTTTATTGACAACCCCATGACCTCAAACTGTACACACTGAAAACAGGCAGAAAACAAGAGCAAAAACAACACACTTCTAGAAGCCATGGACAATCTGTTTATCAAAAAAAGGCTATTAGAAAGAATAGAACTATGCATAAACATACCATGGTAATAAAACAAAGCACTTTTTAGTTTTTTGCAAGCTGTGACAGAGGTTAGGTTGATAACACGACAATGCTTACTGAGAGGACATTTCATTATGTAACTTACACATGACAACTTCATGATAACTTCCACTGAATATACAGCAGACCTTAAATTGAAACACCATTTAAATGGTGTTTTAAACCACCATATAAACCATTTAAATTGAAATATTTCCCCCTTTTTCATATCAGTATATGGGTCAGTATACAAACTGCCCTACAAACAGCTACAAACTAGTGCAGCTAAAAACCACCTCACTGATCAATGAGTAAAACTCTCCTCCTGCCCAGTGAACTGCTCATGCATATACAGTATGTTCATTAACCATTTAATCACTGTAGTTTAACGACTCAGGAGTATTGGATGCCTATATGCTTTCCTGAAGCTGCTTGGATTTATACATTTTTCCAATTCTTAGCTAATAAACAGCTCAACAATCCACAGTAAGAGTTTCTTCCATCACAAGCTACATTAGAAATGAAATGAGCCCAATACAGAGTTTAGCGAGCAATTGTGACTGATAAAATCAAACTGACCTCTAAAAGAAGCTTGAATTTGAACGGCAATGTGATTCACAAGAACACTGTTGAAATCCATCAACTCATGGACCTGCATTGTGATTACTGGAGACTTATTCAACTTCAAACACAATGCTAGTCTGAACTCAAAATACAATTTGAGAATTGGCAGGCAGAGTCAGATCATTTTAATTATTTTTCTCCACAGACTTTGTAGTCTTTAATACTAAGTATGATCTATAATTTGTATTCTCTGATTTTACACCATATTAAATGGAGTGACATCACATATGAGGTGCTTTAACAAACTTGCTTTTAAATTTATGGCCCATGAGGAACATATTTTAAAATAAAAATCCAGTCATATTTCATCCTGAGAGCACTTTGATAGAGGAAATGTTGTAGAATTCTACTTGCGGCTCTGTTAGGAGGGGAAAAAACTAGATGGCCATGCATGTTAAAAGCCTATGTGCCATCAAAGCCCCTTGGGCTACAAAGGGCTCTTTTAGCAAATGGATGGCAACAGCTGCAAACTCTGGGCTGTTCTTAATGTGCATGGTGCAGATGTCTGCACTTGAGTCCCACAGTCTGAGACAGATCTGTCTGGCTCTACACTGGGTTTCTCTCATCATATCACTGTAGCTTCATTAAGCAGTGAACTCAATACCAACATCTGCCTGGCAGTTTTTTTCTCAAATTAAAGGAAAAGCTATAAAAGCTACAACAATAACCATTTTAGACCCTTGTTATATACTAAATGTATCCCTTTACTTGTGTTAGCCTCACATAAAATGATTATCAGTATACTACACCATGAGCCTCTCTGCTTTTTTAAATTATCTTTTCCGAGTGATGGAAAATGTTTTGAAAACAAAAAATGCTGTGAAGGTGGTACATTTTCTTCCACACCAGTAAGATATACTCTGTCTGAATTATACGGCCTTTCCTAATAATATTTGATTGTACTGCTTTAGTTTTTATCATCAGATTTGTCTCATGCTCAGCCATGAAAAATAGAACAAACAATGGAGCCAACCGTGGATGCAGCCAAAGAGAATCATCCTGCATTAGCACTGCATCCACCTCTGTAGCCTTTTAATTCTGAAAACTGGAACGGCAAAGAAGAGCCGAATTTAAGATGCCTGAGCATTCTCTGCGCTTTGAAGATTTGACCAAAAAGACATTTGTTCTGGGAGCAGAGCAACATCATTTAAATATTGTCGTTACAAGGTCTCTAATAGCTAAAACTAAAGAAAAGTTTAATGGCAGAACCATTTATGTCTTACACCTAAGGCTCATAGGAAGTGATAACGCTGAAAAATAAATCCAAATAAGCACCTGCATGAGACGACAGGGATACATCGCTGATCAAAGCTACTGGGAAAGAGCTGCAATTACCAAAATCAATACACAGCGATAAGAAATGTGTTGCAGACATGAACCATAGTCAATCAGATAACACTATCCAATCAGTGAACTGGGACAGAAAATTGTTGACTATTGAACTCATTTAATGCTTAAAACAAATACAAGTTACTTCACTGGGTCATCACAATTGAACAAGATTTTTTTTCGTATTTGTAACACCCTCAGAAATATACATTCACATGGCTGCATACAGACAATATCTCTCTTTTGATTTTCTTTCAATAACATTAAATCAACAAACTGTATGCATCACCCCTTTGTATGACAGTGAAGCCACTAGTGGCATATTAAAATGTACTGCAGGAGCATTTTTAGGTGGGACTTTGGAAATAAGCTATGCGTCAACTTCATCTATTCATCATCGAGTCTCTATGTTTGCAGTCAAAATAGGTATATTTTACATGAACAGGGCCCCTACACAGTTGTCCCTAAATAAATCCCGACTATAATCTCAACCTTATGTACAGTATTTACAGTGGAATGTTGAACATACTGAATACAAAAAGTAGATTAGGATGGAATGAAGTTACAGTCAGTATTACAAAATAGAAACTCATAACACCCCAACAACATGAAGACAATGTTTATATCTACCAGTATACAGAATGTCGACTCAAATCTGAAGGATTTTTCTTTCTCCAACATGTCCCAGAAGCAAGTGTGGCAGTGGTTTCATAAAGGATGCAGAAAAAAAGTGAAATGAAACTTTAATCTTGTGCTTTTTAAAAGGGGGATAGAGTTGATCTTTACTTTGGGCCAAAGTTGCATCTGTTAATAATTTAAATTTACAAATTAAATCTCTTTCACTAGATCCATGTTTCAATTGTTGTGCTTAGAAAAGTTAGATCTATGTAGGACATCTAGGACATTCCAGTATTGACTGGAAAAAGTGCTGTATCACAATTTAGCATTACACTTTAAAATGGTAATGAATACAGCTTTTAAGAGATTAATCGATTTAAAGATCAAGTACAAGATGCAATATTAGTTTTGTGCTGGAGCTCAGATGGAATAACATCCCCACTATACTAACTAAAATTCACTGCAAGTAAAGAACCATCATTTGTCTGATTTGAAGAGTTTTGTAGTCCATGTCATATTTCAATATATGTTTTATGTTATTCCACGGCATGAATAACTTAATTGATGGAGCAGCAACTGTTCAGACTTCCTCATGTTTCCTGGCTTTGATAGGCACTGAATGCAAGAATAAAAGATAACATGACACTCTATTTGATGCAAACTACGTGGAATTGACAAGTTACAACAAAGCAGTTCATCTGTATGTGAACAATAAATGAAAGGCCATAAAATTGTAATTAGCTTTTTCACTTTGAAAGTAGCAGACCCGCTACTGTCAATTTGTTTCCCCTCTCTGAAACGTTTGTTTTGCAAACCTCCTGTATCATTCTCAAACTGTAGTGGATACACTGCACAAAAACAGAAATAAGGCTGTAGGAAATGAAACTGAACTAAAAACTGAAATTCAACAGAAATGAAAATAAACAGAAATCAACAGACTTTTAATAAGAACATGATATTTCCCACTTTGTAATGTTAATTTGTGTCGAAAATACAATATAAATTGAGGCTCATGATTAACATGCTCATCTAAAAACATACAGTAGACAAGCATGAACTGTAAAACATTCACATCTCCAGCCGGCAGAGAGATCGGCTCTCAAAGAGATGTTTTTTTTTTCTTCTTTATTTATATATATTTATATACTGTTTTGTGTGTTAACTGCAATATTAGTGCTGGGTACTGTGTGCCCATAAACTCATACCTCTGTCAATACTGACAACACTGACAAAGTGTAGTCTTTTGAGCTGCAAATGAGGACAAACGCACTGGAATTTAGAAAAAATAGCAACATACGCACATCCACTCCCACATAAAAAACATGCATAAAATAAGGCTTAATATTGTATTTATATTGTTCAGAGCCAGTCAGATGTGTTGTTTATAACCACCAATTTACTCCTTTGCTTCTATTTTATCCAAATATTTCACAAAGAACTTTTTTTTTGTTTGAAGCAAATTCCATTTTGCTGAGGAGAAAAACAAGTCATTTGCTATGCTAGCATCCACTGGCACTTAACAGTGATTTAAAAAGCCAGATATACATATAATGCCTTAAGACAGGGCCATTGTATCTCTTTTGGCAGATTCAGATGCCAACCTTAAGGAAAGGACAACCATATATGCCTTTAAAATCCCCCAAAGGGAATCCCCCAGCTGTATTTTAGAAAGAAAAAAAAAAGAGAAACACATCATGAAAGCAGCAGGTGACTTATTATACTCCAGCATGGCCACCATCATATTCAATTCCCTTTACATGTTAATATGTTTTCTCTGTAGAAGTAAATAAAAGCATCACTTGACTTTTTCCTCCTATCCGTGTCCTTTGTGTCCATGGACGACTCCTCATAGCAAATGGTGTTGCTGTAAGTGGGAGGCTTTAGCCAATTCTTCGGTACACAGTCACACAATTATAAGGAGAGACAGTCATTATTAGGAAATTACAAAGTCACTTTTCTCTGACATCCATTTGATAAAAGAATGGTTAGAACCATACATAATTACGCTAACTCAACACAAAAAACACATTTCATTTTAGTGGTAAGATTGAGATCTCATGTACACAGGTCAAGTCAAGTGACAATCATGACATTTCAGAGCATTATTAAAGGTGTCTGTGGACACCGAGACTCACCAAACCTCTTTTGGACGTGATTGTGATGCACCACTGAAATGTAGAATGCTTGTGACGCAATTACAGCCCTTCTCTCCCCGGTAACTCTGATGTGCGAACTCATTTAACGGGATTGAATTTTAGAAAAAAATTGAAGACACTCGATATTTATCTGTTACTGCCATGTCCACATGGCTTAGTACGCTGACTCCCTCTCAGTAAAGAAACAAATCAAGCATATGAACACAGGGGGTCAAGAATACTAAGCATGTCTTTGGAAAACAGCATAACATATCTGCTTTTTATGCTGTAAATATGCAGAAATTAGTAATTTCATGGACTCTAACCCCTGTGAGAAACAGGAAAAATGATACAGGTGCTGTATGGCGTTTTTTTTTTCTTTCTTTCTCACAACACTTGACCACAAAAAAACCCCCACTTAGAACTCCACCTGTTACTATGTCAGACAATTAACTCTCAATTCTCTGGTCACTTAAAAATCATACAAAAATTATAAAAATAACAAAACGGCAATGGTAATGGAAAAAAGTCAAATTGTACATCCAGTGTAGGACTTTCACAAATGTGCTCAGCAAAACCTCAACCTGCAGTCTCTTTTTATACATTTAATACATTTATAACATGAAAAAATACAGAAAAAGAATATTACACCAGTATTAATCAACCAATCACCTCTCTGGCCTCGTAGGTCAGTGACAACGAGTCCATTTACATACCTTAGTTTGTATTCTTTGCCCATTCACCTGATGGAACTGATTCATTGCTGTCATGTTGAGAAGTTGATGTTGGTAGCACTTTAAATAGACATTTGATTTTCTAATTGAGATTAGTTGGATGGGGTTTGATGTGGGGGGGAGTCAGAGGGAAGGGAGTACTAGGTTGACCAAAATTGGAACAAGACTGTGAAGGGTGCAGTTTGACAAATGGGAGGGCAGGGTCGTGATGGAGGTGAAGGGTGCAGGTGCAATGGAATGCAGGTGGGGGACAAAGGGTTATTTGATTTGGTTGTTGCATGCCACTACACATACCACTCTTTCTTAGAAATGACAGAGCCATCGGTTTGAGAGATCATATCATCAGCTATCTCAGGTTCAGGGTCATACTGGAAAGCCAGAGTCCGCTCGTCATAGTCCCGGCTCTCTCCTTCATCCACAGTGAAATAGGGCCTCTTCAGGTCCTCTTGCTCGGTGTCAAAATCACGCTCGCTCGCTTCAAACCCTCCGGTGCTGCCGATCTGGGCAGTTTTCTTCTCATCGTCTGAGTCGTCTGGGTACTGCAGGTTCTTGGGGATAGGAGGGTGGGTGGGCAGGCCGCCCGCCTTACTGTACCCGTTTCCAAACACGTGTTTCTTGGTGCTGTAGTCTCCTTTGAAGGTGCGCTGGCGGCGGCGCAGGAATATGAAGAGCAGTATAGCCGCCACGCCCAACAAGGCGACTCCCCCCACAGCGCCCCCGATGGCGGCACCTGCATTGTGCTGCTCCTGCGGGATCTCATGGCCCCCAGTTGTCGGGTTGTTAGGGAATTCTGGGTAGGAAAAGACAGATGGAAGGGAGTGTGTCAGTGCTCTGGTGGGAGGAGGTGCGTTTGTGCAGGTGCAGATTTTTTTTTTTTTTAGGAAAGATGAAGTAAGGGAAACGAGGACGGAAAAGCAAAGGGGAAAGGAAGGAACCCCAGGCCCCACGACAAACCCCCCAGTCTCAAAGGAGCGCTTACCATCAGTGTGGCAAGGCTCAGTCATTAACAGTCACATGCAGTTTCATACATGGAAAAAATAACATAAACAGACGGTACACCACACTACACCATCAAAGAGTAAAATGACGCAAGAGATTAAAGTGAATGAAGTGTTGTCAGCATGCATTAACCATAATTTCTTCTCTGTTTGGAAGGTGGAGGAAAATTAAACAATTTAATCAACAAATGGAAGAATTAATTCACATAGCCTTTCAGTGAATACATTTAACTCTGTAGGTTTCTAAGTTTCATACAAGTCAAAGTAAACATATTGATGATATACTGTATAAAATAGTACAACATGATATAAAACCACCATCACGATCAGTGTAGCATTAATGAAATGAAAGAGCCCTGCCAGAGATGATTATCAGTGGCCAAGCATACACACACAAGATGCATCAGGAGAGCTGAAAAACATGATGCTCTTCAATCCAGGCAGCAGAACATACAGCAAAAGATAGAATATGCTTCTAGAGAGAAATATATATTATTTAGTAAAAACAGTGGAAAATAGAGAGAAAATTATCAAATAGGTCAAAGATGTGCTCTAATCTAGAACAGTGACAATGACTAATAGCCTGCTAGAGAAAAATAATAACTTAGATGCCATAGTCTGAAGGCTGGGTCTTTGCCTTGCAAATACAAAAAAAGATATGTTGTTTTAAATTCAAAACTGCCATGACCGTATCTGGAACTGAACTGAATCATCACATTCATTCCACCATTTTGGAGAGCCTCCTTACAGGAAGATAAACAATACTTATGACAAAAGCCCAGTTGTTGCTTACAGAAAAGTTATCATTGAAAACCATGTCCTTTATATACACATTGTCACTTAAAACCAAAACATATGTGAAGCTCATGAACACAGAGAGAGAAGAGGCTTTTATCTGAAACGTGATCAAAGACTCGAGGCGCACAGGTACTGTAGATCTTGTCTAAACTTGCAGAGCAGACGCACATTTAACTTCAATGGCAAATGCTGAATCCTCAACAGAAAGGAGGAAGAAAAAACAACAAAGAATTACACCATCTACTCAACAAATGGTGTGGGAGAAGACTGAAAAAAAAGGAGAACAAAACTGTAAGCAAGACAGAAGGGAGCTTCCTGTTAGTGCAGGGCAAACCACAGACTTGTATGTACAACATATAACAAGGCTAGATGAGATACAAAAAAGATTTTCAATGCTTTTGATACGATTTCTGTCAACTGTTGTACTGATTTATAAATGGCTGTACAACGCTTCTCTAAACTACGGACTAGACATCTGCTGCTGGTAATACACTGGCTATAAGTACCTCACACAGCCCAACTTCAAAAATCCCAAATTATCCCTTTAACACCTGTCATCAGGTGTCTTCTGGAAGAAAGTATCTGAATCTGATAATGTTAAGTGACTATAATTATTAGATAACTACTGTAATACTCAGGAAGCAAATCAATTAAATTTATTTAACAGAAACATTTGTAATGTTCTATTTTGATGTACATTCATGTCATCAAGTCATACCTTTAATGTAATTTCCATTTCCAGAGTAGGGTTTTAATTATAGTTTATATATGCATACATTAACTATGAATCTGTTACAATGTAAAGGCAGCAACTGCATCAGTATTGCCCTGAACAGAAAACGATTATATTTAATATATACAATTATGGTTAACATTGAAGGGGAAAATGTCTTTCTGAAATTGGAAACTCATTTACAAACTAACTGATCATAATTGAGCCAAAATGAAGGTTTATGTTAAACAATCCTAAAAGCTCCTCTGTGTTGCCTTGTAGCAAGTCAAATAGAGTCAAATCAGAAATCGCTGGAAAAATCACCACATCTTACAACCTCTGCCATCCTCATCATACAAAACAAAAAAGACAAATTCCCCACATAAGCAGGGAATTATTTTCTAATTATTGCCCTAAACTGTTTAATCACAACAACTGCACTCGATTAGAACTGCTTTTTAGTGGAAATGATACATTTCTGCCTAGCTTTGGTAGAAAAGGATGGTACTGGGCAAAGTGAAGAAGCTGCTGAAGCCTTCCTCTTTCCTTTCATTACAATGGCACTCTATCAGTCCAAAGGAGAGACCTCCCAAACACAGTCACTTTTCTCAGCTGCTCTTCCACTGTACCCTTTCTCCCAGGACCGACAGCAAAGCTCTCCAATTTCTAAAGCGGTGCCGGGCACAGTCTCAAATATCAGCTCAGGTTTTAATCTGACCACCTAATGGGATTATTCAGACACAGGACTTCATTACACACATGAATGAGAGAGCAAAGCCCGGTCACCCCTGCTCGAGAACACATCCTCCCACCAAGCCCAAAGAGGGGTGGAAATCCAGAGGATTGAAGAGGAGAGAGAAAAGGGAAAACATTCTCCTGTAATCCTCACCTCTACCATTCACTGCCTTCCTCTGCAAGGATCTGTCTCCTCTCTCATCAGTACCATTATTCAATCTTAATTAGGCAGCCTTTAGCCTTTCATTTCTAAGGTTTCCAACACTCAATATTTACCACTTCACAGAGAGGTGAAAAACAGAAGGCAAGACCATTATTCTATAAAGGATCAAGTAACAAATACCTCTTGACACCCGTATTTAAAGAATGTGAATGTCAACACTAATGATTGTGTTATAGTCCATACAAAGTATCGTTGATGGTTTGTATGGAAGAAGCTGTAAACGTTGAGGTATTTTTGTTACTTTTTCCCCGACACATCCACCTCTGAAGAAGGCTTGGAAGATTCAGTACTGAAAACAAGTAATGGAGTTTCTAAAGGAGTAACTAAGATGTTTTACTAGAGGGGGAATGGAAGGGGAAAGTATTGAAGTGTTTAGAAGGTTCTGCCTCTCTAATGGGGGTACTTTAGAGCAGACAAAGAAGCTCAGAAACACCAAGAAAAACACATCAGATCACTTCACTGCAGTAGAGGAACACACTGCTTTTATTTTTGGAGGAACACACTTCCTGTTGACCTCACCGCCACCCTTCTGCTCTGTATTCTTCCACAAGGTCACATCCCAACACCACCGCCCATTGGTCTTGTGCCTACATGAAGATAACAAAATGGCAATATATTTGCCGACTTTGTCTAGCCCATGTCCTCTGTGAATGTGACTATGTGAAATTAGAAAGGCTATGGTGCAAACTAATCATATTATAGAAACACTAATAATAAAACACATTTGAAATGGTTGGGGTATGTAGGGGTGTTTGACAGCATGGAGGAGGTAGGAGGCGTTCCACCAGCACGCAAACACTACCGGCAACACCTGCCAACAGACAGATAAAAAAGACCTCAAAGCAGCACAACAACAGCCCTGATACTGTTGCAGGCAACACAAGACAGAGTCCATTAACACCACTCTGGAAATATGCAGATAGAGGGGTAACCTTGAGTTGCAATGACTAAAATGTACCATTGAGATTAATAGGTGGCACGATGTGCTATGAAAGGCTATAATTCAAGTCAGAGGCATGATAGATTTATACAGGTAAAGAATAACATGAAATACTGCAGCTATTTAAACACTGCAACCACGCCATTTTGCATTGCATTAATCACACTATTTTGAACACTAACTCTGACTTGATTGAGTGGATGATTTACTACCTCCAAACACTTTAGTGACAAAATCTGTTGCCTTCACAACTCGATGAGTGTTCTCCCTCTGAGTCATTTGTGTAAAACTGAAGTGAGTCTTTAAGAGAATCAAATGGTAAACAAATGTGGCACACTCAAAAAAGCCTGACATCTTGTTGTGGAAATGATACATCAGGTCCGTGCGAGATTTGTGGCTTCAGAAAGAAAAAAAAAACATTTGGAGCAGGGTTTTGTATTTCAGTGTAAGCTACAGTACAAAATAACCAGCAGCAGCAGCAAGCAGTTCAAAGATACTGAAGGAGAGGAATGTCTGAAGCAGAAGGGGATTTAAAGTAAGAGAAACTGTATCACAACTCTGTCCTGCAGGTACGGTTTCTGGGTGTGCTCCAGTCATGTCTGCACATGAAAAAAGGAGTGAGACAGGTACAAACATTCCTTGAGTCTTAGCGCAATCACCTGGACAAGGTGTTATGATAGAGGCTAGGAAAATGAGAGAGGATTTCAAAGAGTGGTACAGGGAGTGGTGTTTTAATATGACTAAATGAGGAACAAGCTGCAGACAACAGAAGATGAAAAGAAAATAGAGGGCTACTCAGAGAGTTGGAGGAGTGGCAACAAGGAGAAAAAAAGAAGACGGAGTGAGTGCCTTTGAGAGGTTGGGGAGTGACAACGGCAAATAAAGAATGGCATAATGAGTGAGAATGGGGACAATCGGGAAAGAAGCATTAATTCAGCGATTCCAATGATCCTCATTACTCCCCTGTCTGAATTTGCCAGTGGTTGTGAAGTCATGGAAATGTAATGCTGCCACAATGAATAAAAGCTCATCACTGACAAGAATTTAACATGCTGCCCGGGGAGTCGACGGCGAGGCAAAGCTCTTCTTCACCCTATTGCACACTCCTTTCCATTATCCACTATTTCATTTTGTCAACATATTTCTTTTTTTTTTTTGCTATCACTGATTTTACAGACGCATAACCTCGCCATTTGTGTAGGTAAATGCCACTCACAGCATTAAAACCTTCAGACTAGTAATTCAAATTCAATTCGCTGTAAAAAGCCAACAGATAAGGGGAACTGGGTGTGCTGGAGGAGACAACACTGTGAAATACTGGCATCAAAACACTGGTGACATCATCTGTGGCATGTTGTGAGCATGCAGCGACTTGCAGGATGGT